TATAGATAATTTTATTTTTTAAAAAAATATTTTTATTTAAAAGACTAAGTTTAAATTCAAAAAATTCTATTAAACTTATAGACAAGTCTATTTAATTATATAATATAACAAAATTAATATACATATTATATTATTAAAAATATAAATAAATAAATAAATAAATTTTTAATAAAAAATAAAATTATCTATATTTTTGATATTTTTACAATACTTAAAAGTTTTACACTTTTTATTCATATGAAATCAAGAAATAAGAAATAGAAGCTTTGCTAGTTGTTTTTTCACTTGTTTTTTTTTCTTTCATCTTTATAGTTGGTTATTTAAAATATTCTAAATAAAATATAGAAAATATTGGAAAAAAAATTCTTTGATTAAAATTACTCTCTTTAATGATAACTTGTGTATGAGTATACTTAGTGTACAGAAATATATATTAGTTGTGCCTCTTATGTTAATTTTTTTTAATTTAAAATTTAATAACAATAAAATAAAATATTTTTATTGCATAAATTAAAAAAAAATTGACTTGCATGCTTATTTAAAAATAGATTTATTGACTTATTTTAAATTAAGTTTATTAATTCATTAATGTAAAATAAATTTTTTTAAGTCATACTTATTAAAAAATCTTTAAAAAATAATGTTAAATTTAAACATTAATTTTATAGAATAGATTCAATTTATATTTTTTAAGTCAAATCTAACTCTATTCCTTAAAAATACTCCAACAATGTTAGACATGTTCCATCATGTAAGCTATTTTAAAAATGAACTTATTTCTAAAATCAACTTTAAATATCTTAACTTTTATTTAAGATCTCTTGGTAATTAAGTCATGTCTTCTGATTTTAAATATTTTTTCTTTAAATGGTTGTGATATAAAAACAGTGGGTTAGTTTTTCTTTCGTATCTAGTTAATTAACAGAATAGCAAAACAATTGCCGATTAAAAAAATATAATTTATTATTTTTCATTGTTTTAAAAAGAATTTATTATATTAATTTTTATATATTATTAACATAATAAAATTGGTTGTGTCTTTTGTATATGTTATAGTTGTATTAGGTTTATTATATCCACTTTACCTTGATAATATAATTTTTTATTAGTAAAAATTATTCAAACTTTATGCATAATATTCTAACTCACTACTAAGTTAACGTAGTGAGTTTCCTTGATAATACAATTTCTTTTACTTATAATAAATACTTTTACTTTCATAAATACTTTAATTTATTGTTTTCTAACTAATGTGGAACCAGTGCTAGTTAACATTCATCCTTTTTTTTTCAAGTCGAAGAAACTAAATATAAAGCACGTGATAGGTTCACATTTTAATATATATATATATAGAGAGAGAGAGGAGAAATGGATGAATTGTGACAAGCATGTGTTAAACATATGAACTCAATCATTATACATCACGTCTATCTTAAACTCAAATGAGAGAATTGTGGAGGACTTGAAAGCTGACGAAACCGTGAGCCTCAGGCACATGAAAAACTATAATTCATTTATTTTTAAGAATCAAAGCGCGCAGTTGCTCGGGCTGAGACAATGTAACAGAAATGGGAAAATTATTAAGTAACCGACTACATGTTTTCTAGTTTACCAGTGTTATTTTTTTTATAAATTAGAATTTTAAATACATATCATGTAAACTTTAATTTGATCGAAACTATGAACACTTAATAGTGTTGAACTATACCTATATAATTTCTGTTGAAATGGGGGACACAGAAGAAGTTGATGATCATCGTAATGGCTTAGGTATTTAAGAGTGTTTGGGATGTTGATGCCTCCTTTTCAGCCATATTTAGAAGTTGAAACCTCTATGAAGTGCGTCTACATTAATGATTATCTCAATTGATAGTGGTTAATTACCCTAGGTAGCTAGTTCTAATATTAATACATGTAGCAATGGGATTAGATAGTGGGCTTTTGGCTGAGGCAAGGGCCGGGGTTGATTCTCCAACAATACAACGTAAAGGTAAATAAATTTGTAGTTGGTACCTATTTACTTTACCGTACCCATGCCATGCCCCTGGTTTGGCACTGTCTCAGTAACGTTAAAAGAATCTTGCAAGTTGTGAGTTGTGACCTCCCCAGACCCTCCAAGATGATTAAAAAACAAAGAATCTCCCAAGTTTATGCTGTGGAATAACACTAATCCCACCCTCCAGTACGTACGTTTTCCATATTTTAATGTTTTAATTGCTCCCTTGTCGAGTGTGGTTTGTTGTATATAAAGGGTGGGCTTGTAAAGAGATCCTCAGCAGCGACAGTTTCGGAAGAAAGTTAAGGCTTCTCCCTTGCCCCTACTTCTTCTGTACTCGTGGTTGCCCAAACTCAAAACATGGCAATCAGTCACAGCACTTTGGCATTTGCCTTTGGCATGCTAGGTACGTTAGTCCAATATGCCCACTTTCTATATATCTTTCACTTATTTATATAAAACATTTTATTTCTTCATTATATGATTCTAGTATCATTTTTTCTCATCAATTTTATTGTGTCATTTGTCCTTGTGCGAGCGTACATGCAATGAACAAGAAACATATAATTTGCTTTCTTATAATAGGACCGATGTGATTATTCTAATTTCTTAATCTCGAGAATGATTTTCTTTTCAAATCATTCTAAATTTAACATATACCATTACACTTTTTATGTATATGTCATGCATTAACCGTGCCCTTATAATATAATATTCCTAAGCAAAAGAATTAATCTTTCTCTCTTTATGATGCATAGGTAACGTCATTTCGTTCTTGGTATTCTTGGCTCCAATGTAAGTATTTTCATGATTATATATATATATATATATATATATATATATATATATATCAATTAACTTACGATTTAAAAACAAAAAAAGGAAAATGAATTATGATTTTTACATTAAATATTGCAGACCAACATTTTACCGAATATACAAGAAGAAATCGACCCAAGAATTTCAGTCACTGCCTTACCTGGTGGCACTGTTCAGTTCCATGCTTTGGTTGTACTATGCTTTACTCAAAAAAGACGCTTTTCTTCTCTTGACCATTAACTCATTTGGGTGTGTCATAGAAACCATCTACATCATCTTGTACATCATCTATGCGTCCAGGGATGCTAGGGTATGATCTATATGCAACTTTAGTCTTACTTAACTATCAATAACTTGTTAATTTAATAATTGAGCATTATGTCTCCGTTCCAATTTCTAATACTTAATACGTTCATTATGCAGAACTTAACTTCAAAGTTATTTTTCGCAATGAATGTGGGCTCCTTCGCTCTGATCCTCCTAGTTACACATTTTGCTGTGCATGGTGCCCTTCGTGTCCAAGTCCTTGGATGGATATGTGTTTCCCTTTCTATTAGTGTGTTTGCAGCACCATTAAGCATTGTGGTATGTATAAATCTCGTGTATTCTTCAAGTGTTTTGAGCTCGTACTCAAACTAATTATTTTGTCGCGTGTTATGCAGGCACAAGTTGTTAGGACAAAGAGTGTGGAGTTTATGCCTTTCAATTTATCATTTACCCTCACGTTGAGTGCCGTAATGTGGTTTGGTTATGGCCTCTTTCTCAAGGACATATGCATTGCTGTAAGTATCATTTTCCTAATACAACTAATTGAATTAATTTATTACATGACTGACAAATTAACTTTTGTGTTATGAAAATTGAACATGTAGCTTCCAAATGTGCTTGGTTTTGCACTGGGGTTAATTCAAATGCTGCTCTATGGCATTTACCGGAATGGCGATAAGAAAGTTGATAAAATGGAAAAGAAGGTACCCTTAGAGCCACTAAAAAGTGTTGTTATAGCCGTGGAGGAAAAGCAGGGCAAAGAAAATAGTGAGGAGAAGGAGAAAAGCAATGAGGCTAATGATTGCCCAGTCTAAACTAAATGCATGCAAGTATGTTATAATATTGCGTCGTGGGTATCCATGGCCATGACCCACCACTATCTACTTTTAATCTCTTCCATTAAGTTGTAGCTACCTAGCTAAATGTACTAGTTATTGTATCTTTCAATTTAATCTAACCATTGAATTTCGCATTATAAATCTATTTCTCCATCAGACATCAGTGATCGATTCTTGACCTTTTCCTTAATATAACAATTACTAGATGCTTTTTAATTCTCTTAATTTACAAAAACAGTAATCTGCAATTGACTAATAACTCTCCCAAAAGCTAATAAGGAATCATCATTTTTAACTAATACTTCTTGTGTAGCATAGCTAAAGGTGCATATATACAATTGTTTGATGTTTATTGTTTAACATAAACAATTACTTGTATGAATTAAATGTTGAATAGAAATTCTCAACAAAAAAAAAAACACTTAAGCAGCATTTCCTCCTGCTAATTAAGACATTTATTTTGAATCACTAATATATAAATTTCATTTACCATATGCTACACTATTTAGCTTTGTTTTTAGAATAATGAAGATAACAACGATCGATGTAATTTTTGCTCGCTCGATATATAAAGACTTTGAAACCATATCAAAGACCAATTCAATAAATAAAAAATTATATAAATTGTTAGACAAAAATAACTTTATTATTATAATTTTATCAAGTATCCTTAAAATTAAATGATAAAAAATAAAAAAGGAAGATAAGTAATGGGAGAGTCAAAGATATACATGTAGATGTATATACATTAATTGCAAAACTAGCTAGTACTACATACTAAACCTAGGAAACCAAAATACTTTACGGGTAATGGTAATTTTTGCGAAACAAGTTGTACTCAAAATATAATATTGAAGACAAAAAATAATGCAATATTCAATATTATTAATAAAATATTATAAATATATGAATAGGTAGATTACTCGTGATAATATAGAAAACAAATATATAACAGATTTGATGTATTTGCTATGAATGGAAAGATAAGTTTTGTATAAAAATCAAATGATTTCATTTGTCTGCAAATACCAAACTTAATACTTTGAAAATTGAAATGGTACTAGTTTATATTTTAAAACAATTCTCTGTATTACAAAGTCATACTATAGTATTCTCTTTACAAGTATTCTTATATTATTTTGTGTGAATGTGAACAAAGGTAATTTTTATATTTTTTTAATTCTACAATTTAATCATACATAATATTAATATTATAATATATTATGTCAAAATGTTAGATTCACTTAGTCTCATTTTATATATTTCAAGTCTTAATTAAGTCAATATTAAATTTAAATAAATGATTTGGTCAAATTCACCGGTCAATGTTGGAACAAAGAAAACTTTACCCAACACATATTCCTTGCTAACTCCTAGAACACAACACAAATGAGATAGTGGATGATCAAAGTTAGATGAAAGGCCATAGATTAAAGTAAGAAATAAAAATAGCTTTGCCTTTTTATGAATGGTGGTCATGGTTGTTTAGTTTGTTTTGTTATGATATTACTTGATTATGTATATATATGGAAAATGGACTGTTGTACTCTACTTTCTAATATATTTTTGCTTCATAGGTGTAGAATCTTATTTACTAATACAAAAACACTTTCTTCAATCATCTGTCTAAAATGTGTAAATAAGTTAAGGAACATTGGTTAAGATATTATAATTAGTGCGGTTCAGTATCTAGACCAACTTAGGGGCATTTTGTGTGCGTATCCTTTTAAAGAAACGACGCAAACAAATTAAAGGATCCGTACGTGAAGACTGGTTATAAAACGATTGAAGGTTTTTTTTTTTTTTTTTTTTTTTTTTTTTTCACTTGTTTTACGATTTTGCAAATTTTACTACTCAATTTTGGAATTGCACAATTTTTCACTTAATTTTGAAATTTTTGCATATTTTTTTATATAACATATTAGTTGAGTATTAACCTGTCATATTGAATATTGATTGCTGATTATTTTTTTTTTTTTTTTTTTTTTTTTTTTTTTTACATGTGCATCAAAATACTGTTCAGATTTTGAATCCTATTGCAAAATTGACTGTTTTACATTAGTAAAACATGCTTACTTTTATGCCCATAATACTTTTATACTTTATTTTGTTCCGATAAGTAGAATTGTCATCAAAAAATCCTTAGTGAAACAATCACTAAGAAAAGTTAGTTATTATTCTAGTCACAACATTCAATTAGTGTAACTTACCTTCTTTGAATCTTTCGAACTTACAAGTTTTATCTAGACAAAATCTCTTACTTCTTACCTCAATCTTTCGAACTTACAAGTTTTATCGTCTAGGGTCTCCTGGTTGAGACAAATAACTTGAAAATAATTTGAGAGTTCGGTGTAATATATAAGAGATGAGAAACATACGAGTTAGGTCCAAGAGATTGACATTATTCTGACACATTATAGATATTGAGTCCTTGACTTGAGCATAAAAGTGTGAAGAGTATAAGTATCATCATGTTAATTTTCTGCTGGTGTGAGTAATCAGTCAAAGGGAGACTATAATATGATACATAGTCCCCACTTGAGTATGAAGATGTGAAGAGTCTGAGTGTCATCATGTTTTCTGTTGCTGTGGATAGTCGACCAAAGAGAGATTAGTATGATATGTAGTCCCCTAGACTTGAGTATGAAGGTGTGAAAACCTACATGGTGTTGTGTTCTCTATAAACACAAATAATTGGTCTAGGGAAAACTATTACAACACAAATTTCTTCCTATTCGGTGGGAACTATTACAACACAAATTTCTTCCTATTCGGTGGGAACTATTACAACACAAATTTCTTCCTATTCGGTGGTAACATTAGTCATTTTGGCTAAGTATAAGAAATGTCATGGCTTTATGAGTGATTATGATAAGAAGTCATACAATTTGTTTATTGTATATATTCTTTTTGACAATCTATTTATTGTATATTAAATAAATGATATATGATTTACAATTGAAACTATATATGTAATGAATTTAAATTGTCTTTCAATTAATAGGATGACCAATTAGAAAGTTATTACTTAGTTTCAACTAAAAAAACATAATTATATTTGATTAAATTCGTTTACATAAAAAATATTATCACTTCATTAATTGGGTTATATATGAGATAAAGTTAAAGTTACTTTTTTGATTTTTAAAAGCTTAAATAACTCTATTACAATTGCATATTATCTCAATTTATATAATTTAAATAGAAGCATGATCTCAAAGAAGATTAGTTTTCAATTAAGTCGGTTAATACTCTTGTCAATACTATCGAAAAAATAAATAAATAAAAGCATGGTGTTGCTAGTAGTTTGCTACTTGAAAACGAATTTAGGATATGGTGCACTTTTGAGTAGAAATCATAATTTGTAATTGACAAAATGGTGTGATTGAGATAAAAAAAATTTGTCTCCTTACTTTTGAGATGATTTATTCATTTGAACAACTCTCCTATTTCTCTAAAAATATATGATAATTGTTAAATATGCATTCATATTTTATTTAATTTAGGCAATTATTAATCTATATTATGCTTTTAAATATTGTTTTTGACCACAAAATACTTAATCAATAAACAATTTTAACTTTAGTTTAATTGCTTAAATATTAGGTGTTTTTTTAATATTTTCTTGGTTGAAATGGAACACAGGAGAAAATAATTTAGAAGTTATAAGTTTTAAAAGGGAAAACATCATTTCAAACTACATAAAATTGTCGTTCCAAGCGAGAAGAATCCACTAAGAACTATCACAAATTCGTTCTGGGCGAGTAAAGATAGAGGACAACCTTGGACGTATTAACTTGGTTGCTCAAAGCGAGCAACATGGACACTCTAAGCGACTAGACTCAACCTAAAAACACATAAGAAATTATTATAAAATTAGGATTTCTGTAGGTTTTTGAATCGGTTCATGTTGTAATACATTTTCTTTAGTACAATTTTAGAAAAATTAGAGATGTTTTTGTGAGATCAATTCGAGAATCACGAAATGCTCAAAGATTTATCTAGAATTGTAATCTTTAGTCATGAACAACTAAGTTTCATATTGTTGGGAATTGAGGTAACTACTGAAATTATATAATTTATTCTTGTTTTTCATTCAATAAAAGTATTATTTGGTTAGTTATTTTTCTTCAATTCTTAATGTTTATTTTGGTTTGATCATCCAATGCATGATTTATTAGAATTAATTGAGGCTGAGAAACCTTTTTGAAACTATGATATGGAGAAAAACTAACGATGTTTATTACCAAGAAATTGAAATAAATCCCATCGATTGACTTTTAGCCCCTAACCTTAATGTAGGATTGTTTAACAAATATTAACAAGGAATTAGGATTTTTCTTAAACAACCTAGAATTTCTCATCTAAATAATTAGGATTTAAATACATGTGTGAACCATTGAATTATCTATTTAATTACAAATTAAGTGAAAAATTTATAGAATTTTACACAAGAAAAATTAATGAGTCAATCTCTGACTACTTTTATTATATATTAATTTCATCCAATTTATAATTTCCTTTAAAATTCTACAATTAAATATTTTTGTTTACGTGATTCTAATTTAATCATTTTTTAATTTACTAATTTAATTTTCTAATTACATTAAATAATTATAAACGTAAATAACTATGAATTGATAATTTGAACTTTTTCCCTCTTTACTACATCATTTGATATATTTTAAAAATTGAGATATGAATGAATGATATTCAGCACAGATAAAAATATATTAAGATATGCAATAATCCTGAGCATTTATTGAGTACTCAAAAATTTTAAGGTTATTGAGCTGATAAACACAATAAAAGTATTTTGAAAAGGACCTGAGATCATCCAAAAAAACCTACTCTCTTTCAACTTCAAAGCGGAATTCAGTCCGATCATATTGTCTAGTGGCTTACATGACAAAAATGAAACAGCAATTGTACAGAATGAAGCTTATAAAATTTTCCACTATAAGCCAAAGTAGGCTATGTTAATTACGATTATTACAAATAAGTTGATAACATACGATTACTATAAACACAAGGGAGATGCATTGGTCTGTGCATGTTTACAGCGGCGATTTTGAGAAACTTATGGGTGTTCTCTAACCCTGACTAGTTCATGGAAATAATGTGTACATACAGTCTCCATTAATATTATGCTCGTGTTCAGGAGCAGAAAGTGCAGTCACAAAATAAGGGAAAACAAAGTGCCCCAAAAGGTTATGTTAGAAAAGGTTTTGTAAAGATGTTCATTCATGTTGCATCCATTGAAAGAAATGGCAGCTAGGCAGATTCTAAACAAATTAGAACCTATTCTTTGGCCTAAATGGCTATTCGAGTGGCTCTAGATCAGCTCAAGGATAAGCTCCCCATATTTTTCGCACCTTCCACAGGCTCAAGGCTGAAAATTAAGCAACCCAATATGTAAAAGACGGTGCTGAAAATTGCACAAAAGAAACTAAGCATTAGAACCATCAAAACTGCCCTGCTGCCCTCTTTGTTTTCTTTGTTGTCTCAAGTTCTCTCCCCACATCTTGGCTTCGGCCACAGCACGCTCTCTATCTAGATCTCTGTTTAACATCCTTGCTGTTTCTCGAGGGGAGTCATCTTTCTCGGATCCTTCCAAGTCCCATCTGCGTCCGGATCCCCCAGTTTCGTCATTTTTCAATATTCTTCCACCTTTATCATCTCTGTTCCTCTTATCATCACTAGAACCCCTATAACCATGCCCAGAATTGTTGGGATCATATGTTTGGTTGGCCAGATAAGAGAGGGCTGTCACTACGTCTCCAATCAGAGGACGTGTGGCAGCCGATTCTTGAATGCACATTGATGCCACAGCAAGAGCCTGATAAAGACCCCGCATGGGAAACCTCCCCTGGAGCCTGGGATCAGCCAACTTTGAAAACTTCCTCCGATCGTTAAAAAGAGGCCGTGCCTGCACAAACAAACATATAAAATTGTAATTACCTCTCCTTTTTATCTACAAGAGTTTATGCTTGCCAAACTAACTAAAATGACAAGAGAAAGAAAAGAGAAAAACCCATGTGACAAGATTCTGTTCTCCCTGAGGCTGGGTGCTGTCAATTGCTTTGCGGCCAGTAATCAGCTCTAAGAAGACAACCCCAAAACTGTATACATCAGATTTCACAGTCAGCTGTCCAGTCATAGCATACTCGGGGGCACAGTAACCATAAGTTCCCATGACGCGGGTAGAAACATGTGATTTGTCACCAACAGGACCAAGCTTTGCAAGACCAAAGTCAGAAAGCTTTGGATTGTATCCTTCATCAAGTAATATGTTAGATGACTTGAAGTCTCTATATATGACAGGAGGATTTGCCTTATCATGCAGGTATTCTAATCCTTTTGCAGCACCAACAGCTATTTTCATTCTAGTGTTCCAATCTAGTGGTTCCTTATCAGGGGGGAGATCTGCACAGAAATTAATAAACAATGTTAAACTAGAATTTTGGGTGAAGTATTTCATTTTTTTTTAACTTGAATCGTTGTTTATGCAATTTTAGGTCGAGCTCAGGGAAATGGGAATTCCCATTTTATTTCTGGCCAGGCCTGATATGTATTGTATCTATAAGAAAGCCTAGCTTGATCCTGAAAGCTCAGCTACCTCTATACTCCGGTGTGTTATGATACTAGTGGAACTACTCACCCATAAGAGTTTGTAGCTATCACTCAATTGGTGCTACTATGCTAAGACTAAGAAGAATAAATTTAAAAAGAAAAGTACAAGAAAACATCCTAACGATAGTTGGTGATGATTTTATTGAGGAAGCCACATGCTCAAGGTATGTTCATGTCATCTAATCATATGTCATATGTAATTTAAATGTTACCATGATTTCTTGAGGGATGTAAGTTTGTGCATTATCTGACAATATCAGAAATGGTAAACAAATATTAAGCAAAATAGTGCATAAGGGTATTGGTATTGGTTATGAAGGTATTTGTAATGAAAGAGCAAAAGAAGCATCAAGCATGCATACCATGAAGGTGATCTTCCAATGATCCCAAAGGCATATATTCATAAACAAGGAGGCGTTGATCACCATCCGCACAGTATCCAATGAGATTGACAAGGTTAGGGTGATGTAGAAGACTGAGCATGAGGACCTCGACAAGGAATTCCCGATTACCCTGAAGACCATTTTTGTCCAACTGTTTAACAGCAACAATCTGTACATGACATGTTAGTGTGACTTTAGTAAAGAAAGCATTAGCATGGTGATGTTTGATTCAGTTAACCTGAGCAGTGGTTTCCAGCCTGCCTTTGTAGACCCTTCCAAAACCACCTTCCCCAACAAAGGACTCTGCCCTAAAGTTTTTGGTTGCAGCTGCAAGTTCACGGAAGGTAAATGTTTGAGCAGCAATTTGGACATGTCCATCCTTTGGAGCAACTTCCCTTCTGGAACTGGAACCTCCACGCAACTTGTCTGCTCCTGCAATAGTATAATTAAGACCTAATTAATTCATTCTATTTTGGTATTCAATTCATATATATATACTAACCAGAGGCAGAGGGCAATCTGGAAATTCGAGAAGGATTAGGTTGGTGTTGAGGAACGCCGTGATCCTCCTTGGAACTCGAATCGAAACACGAGAAGCAACCCATTTATCCCAAATTGAAATTCAACCGTGTTATTGTGTCTATAGACAGTATAATACCTACAAACACAAAGGGAAAGGCATAGCCATGGCCATGCTGGACAAACAGATTCTTCTAAAATCATCAACTCTGCTCCACCAAACTCCACTAATATTCATCCAAATCACCATCCACCCTCCATTACAGTGCCACCCACCTTTTAAATATCAAAATTAACTAATATACGATCATTTTTACAAAATACAAATACAATTATACCTAATAAGAAATTCGTATTATATCAAGGGTCCATATATCATTAATCAAAACCAACTTTTAGGTCTTTATTACTTGAAACTTGCATACTTTAAGGGAATAAATTTCTTTTAACGCCTATTATTCATTTACAAAACTTAAATCAATACATGGTTTAATTATATTCTTTCCCGGATTACATCGTATATAATACAAAATTTATGTATGACAACGAAAAGTATGATGTGGTTGTTTTTAAATATAAATTACAATTTTATATTTATAAGATTTTTTAAAAAAAGTTGGTCAATAATTTTTTCTTTTTTTTATACTTTCTTATATGAGAATTTTTATTCGTGTATATCAGAAGAATACTAAATCTATATTATAAGAGTTAAAAGGCATGTGTATGTGATCTAACAAGTGATGATTGTATGATATTCGATTACGTATTGATATTTGACAATTATTGTTTTAGTCTTTTTTTTTAAATAATAATAAAAATAAATAAACTTATCCTTTGATGACTTTGTAAATTCCAAAAAAAAAATTGTCAATTTATAAATTTAAAAGTTCTGTCATTAATGATTTTTATTTTTATCGAACCAAAAATTAAAATATATAGATAAACTAATCCATTACAAGTAATTAAAACTAAAATATATTAAGATCAATAATAAATTAAAAAAATAAAAATAATATTCTTTATATTTATACCAAAATATAAATAATAATAATAATTTATTACAATAAGATAATAATATCTTATTGTATTTGTTAATTATAATATAATATTAATAAAAATAAAAAATAAAGTAATTTCATTCTTAATTATATAATATTAATTTAATGACAATAAAGTTGAGTACAATTGGTAGAACTATATATATAATGAACTTTGATAATACTATAAAATATTATTGTATTTGTTTGAGGATATACTATTAAATCTCTAAAGTCTAGGGTCTTCGAACTCCGAGCTCACCAACAATTATGAGGGATAGAGTACCTACAAAAGATACTTCGACACTTAAGTTAGGGTTCTGCACAAAAATCTAAGTGAGCAATAAATAAATAATAACTTTACCTCAATTTGTATAACTATTTATACTTACTTTAAAGGGTTTGAATCTATTGGACTTTGGTTGATTACTAATAAGGTAATACGGTTTCTAATGATGAGTTAATCTCTTAACCTCGTTTATTCCCTTAGTTAATTACGTCATTCACATTATAAAGGTTTCAAGGCATGACAACCTTGATATTCTTAGCCACTTCAGTCGTTAGTCAAGAATGTCGAGACCATTGTGAATAAGGTTAATGTACGCATAGATTGATTAGTCTCAGACATCTCAGCTACTTCAAATGTTAAGAACATCAAGAACTTTACAAATAAGAATCAATGATATCGACAAGACTTGGATGTGTCGACCTTGGGAAAGGTGTTGCACCAAGAGTATTTCTGTCAAAAGCACTTATTCAAGTACTCTAAGCTAATAACATTGAGAGGTGTATATTATGAGTAACTCAGACCTCTTGTAGGTCTTTCACGTGGTACCAAATCCTTCCCTCGATTCCTCAAGGAGTTGTCTAAAGGTTTGTCATTTTTTACTATAAATGTTTTAGCTCGCTTAGTTGCGAAAATCTGATAGTTCACCCATCTATATATACTTGTTGGTTTGTCGGTGAAGATCATCCATGTTAAGGCGTGGTTTTTTATCTGAGGTTGTTGACAAAAGGCCCAAGCCTTAAGGTTATAGTAAGATGGTGTAAGGCAACTGTTGCGATAAGATCTTTGATTTCCAAAGTCACTTTGTTAAATCTATTCCTAAAAATGTGAAATATTCACTATAAGAAACACATAAATTTCTGATGGACATAATCCGTTGGTAAAAAGAAATATCCATCGGAAAAAAAAAAAAGAATTTTTGACAGATTTATGACGGATCTAAATCTCTCAGAAAAAAGTGTCGTTAGAAAAAAAATCTATCAAAAACAATTTAATCCGTCAGAAATTTCTGACGGATGATTCTATAGTAAATATCTATTAGAAATTTCTAGACCCTCTCATTCTGGTGTGCTCAAACTGTTATAAAAATATAAAAATACATTTAATAATTATATTATAATTAATTATATTAACCAATAATAATTATTATATCATATTTAATTAATCTTTATTTGTATATATACTTACTTTTATAATTAACAATCTACTTATTTCTATTTAAAATTAATATTATGATACAATTTAAATTATTTATTATAAATTTAAAAGTTTATATAATAATTTATATATTTTAGAATATTATTTTTATAAATTATAATGATAATATAATTTATAA